TAGGTATTGGGCTTCCCTGGTGGTGCAGTGGTTAAGAATCCGCCTGCCCAAGCAGGGGACACGGGTTCGAGCCCTGGTCCGGGAAGATCCCACATGCTGCGGAGCAACTAAGCCCGTGCGCCACAACTACTGAGCCTGCGCTCTAGAGCCCGCGAGCCACAACTACTGAAGCCCGTGTGCCACAACTACTGAAGCTTGCGCGCCTAGAGCCTGTGCTCTGCAACAAGAGAAGCCACCGCAATGAGAAGCCTGTGCCCCGCCACAAAGAGTAGCCCCCGCTCACTGCAACTAGAGAAAGCCCGTGTGCAGCAGCGAAGACCAAATGCAGCCAAAAATTAAATAAATGAATAAATAAATAAATTTATTTTTTTTAAAAAGTTAGGTATCTGAGGTCAGTGGGGTGAAGCAGCATGTCCAGAAACGGACAACCCGTAGCACAGTCAGACCCATACATGGCTGATGCCAAAGGCTTGCTCTTAGCCCTTTGACAGCACTGCTGCCCTGCAGGACCGTGTGGGGCTCTGCCATTCAGAACAGTCCACCTCCCAGAATCTCAAGGACCAGCCAAAGGAGGCAGAGCAGAATGTTTATGCCCTAATTTTACAGTTGAGATAACTGAAACTTGAAACACTAAGCCACTGTGCTTACATTTCACTGACGATGGCTGGAAATGTGTGACTTTCCTTTATATCATGCTGCTGCAGGCATTATTACACCCCAAGTGTTTTTTTTTTTTTTTTTTTTAAGGGCTTGGAGCTTTAGAATAGACTTTTCTATTTATCCATTGAGTTAGACTTTTCTGAAGTCTTCTTGGGGATTCTGGAAAGGCCTCTTCTTGCTGTTCTGCCAGCACTGGCATTTTGCTTTAGCAGAAGAATCCCAAGAACAGCTGATTCATGCAGAGAGAAATGAAAATTTCATTACCCTTTTCAGGACATTTGCAAGATTGGGAAAGAAGGATTTTAGTGCCAGGCTGGCAGGCAGTGCGGGTTTGGTTGGAGCCTGGTGTTTCAGCCTGGCCTTTAGTTCTTTCGATTGTTTTCACTGTCTGAATTTTCTAGAACCCTGTGGAGAGAAGCTTCCTGGATAGAGTCAAAACAAGTCATCGCTGCTACTTTTCTAGAGCCTATGACACATAAGAAACTTATCTGTTACTGACCATGGGTAGCTAAAATCTTTCAGTCAGGGATCCCATAGCTTGCTACTAGGAAAGGCAGCTCTTTGGTGGTATTCACTTTCTAACTTTACGTTCCCCACGAGAATAGGCTGTTTGCCTGTTTTTCATGACAGGATCCCTTTGTGTGGACTACTGAACTGAATTTCAGCCTCCTCAAACCACTTCATTCACTTAGTAACCGGTATTTGGAAGCGGTTGTTGGCTATTTTTCCCCCCTACTGATCATTGAAATATAACCCCAGTAGTATTACAAAAACCACATTCATTTTTGCAAGTCTGTCTTCTCCATGGTCTAAATATTACAGTGAAGCAAGAAAAGGGACAGTTCCTTTGAGTGCACGTACTTGCATTGGATTGTTGTAAGACAACATGAAATTCTAGTTGGATTCATAAAACTATGTCCTGGGGAGGGATGTCCCAAAGCCCAACCTTGGGAAACTCTAGAAACGAGTCATTTTTATTTTTAAAGATCTACCGCAAAGTGGCCTCTTGCCTGCTGTGTGGCACCAGGATTTTATTAGGTTGTGGGTGGTTTAGTGAAAGAAAGGCACAGTAGTATTTTGGGGAAGGCTGGACGAGAGTATGGAGAAGAAAGTATAAGATGAAGGATTGATTGGTGATAACTGAGAGAAGGGAGATTTCCTCCTGACCAGTGACCAGCGGGAAAGACTTTGGGTCCTTTTGGAAACCGTAGCAGGCTTGCATTTTGTTGGGTGCGGCAAAGATAGGAGTGCTGTCAGGGGACTGATTTGAACCTCTTCATTGAGCCTTCTAGGGAAAGTAATTAAGGAAATGATTGAGGGAAAGGAATCCTTGTCAATCTTATTAATAAAACTTGTTGAACAAGAGCCTTCCAGAAAATGTACCAAGATGTCGTAGTGCAAAAAGGCTGTGACAGAAGACGTCTCCCTCCCCATCATGTTCCTGAGATGGTCTGACGATAAAAAACTGGGCTAAGTGGAGTGTGAGCCTGAGACTAGCATCATTGTAAAACTGCAGCTCTGGAAGAAGCATCTTTGGGGTCATCTAATCCAAGCCTCTTCCTTCCCTCTCACCCCAGTCGCTTTCCGGGAAACGGAGACCAGAAAGATGAAACAAACTGCTTAGGTACCTGTTATTACTCTGTAAACACTTGCAACTTACTCAGACCATGCTCGGGAAGCAACTCCAAAATGTTTTTTAAAATTCCATTCTACTCAAAGCAAATACGAAACCAAATCCAAAGTAATCAGAAGGAAAAATGAAACAACTAATGTTGCTGTGTCGGTGGTGACATTGATCTGGAAGCAGGAGCTGCCATGAATTCATTTGTTCTATAAGAACCAATCTTGAAAATGGCAATGGTGGAGTAAAACCAAGAAAACAGAGGAAAATGGGCATGAGTGCCCCCAACAAAACACCCTGAGCCAGTGACCCAGGGGTGGCCGCGAGCACCACCGTTACTCTAGAGAGAAGGGTTCGGGGTCCTCAGGCTAGGGCTTCAAGCATCTCCTGCTCCTAGGCTGAAGGCGCTCAAGGCCATTCTTTTAAACAATGAAAATGAGAACTCCCAGTTTGCTTGTATGGAGAGTTTTCAAAACTGCATCAGAGGCGGTTGATCTGCCTTTAGAAACGGTGCTCTTCAGCCACCGTTTGTGTCAGCTGAAAACAGAAGTTCAGAGCATGCGAACTTGTCTTGTCTCTGACTATCTCCCTGAAGTTGAAAACTGGGTGCTTACAGGCGATTAACATTCTGATTCTGTTCATGGTTTGTGCCAGGCCTTACCAAGGAGTCTTCCCCAGGGTCTGCCTTCCCACCCCTCCCGCAACTGTGACTCGGGCTGTGGAATCCCAGAACCTTGGTCCAGCCTGCTCATTTTTGCCTATTTCCAGCGCCCAGAGCAAGCCTGGTGGCATCTTGTTTTTATGTGAAGGGGAGAGGAACAGAAGATGATGGTGTTTATGGAGGGTGATTAGGCGTGAGGGGGCCTAGACCTACAGGAAGGGAAGAGAAACTTTGGCTCCGGAGCTCTAAGAAAACTAACCATAAACATGGAAAGGGTATCTTGAAGTTTCACCAGAGGCTGGAGCAGCAGGAGAGCTTCAGCGCCGGGGGCCCTGGAATCAGAAGCTTGCTTTGTTTTCCCTCCTCTGTGCTGACTCAGTCCACAACGACTTTGGCTGGTTTCTCAACATCTCTGTTCCGCATTTTTCTTGGGATTGGCAGCGCTGATTGCTGCCTCCTCAGGGTCCTGGGCTAGCCTGAAGGTTGAGTGGAGGGGCATTTTCCCTTGATGTTGTGTATAATTTGTTTTTGTGTGGAAACCTCTCTTGTGCCCGGCGTTGCCAGTTTGCCCTGACAACTAGGGTTGGGCCTTCTCTGGGCTTCTGCTGCACCCGCTGGGGATGCTTCGGGAAGTGGGCTCAGTCTGAGGAGTGGACGGGCCCGTCTTCTAGTTGCTGGGGGTTAGGTTTATCGGCAATCGCTTGTGCGCAGGTGAAGTCACTGGAGAACAGTGGCCGAGAAACATGCATAGAGGCCCCAGGGTGGGCCCCGTGTAGTAACTTTCGGTTTCTTTGTTCGAGGAATGAATCTGTGCCTCAGTTTGTCCGTTTGTTCCTTAGCCTTTAATTCATGGAGGGCCTGGTCTGGGCCTGGTGCCCTGGGTCATCAGGACTCTATTTGGGCTGGGAGCCACCTGGTCACAGCTGTGCCACCAGCAAGACGTGAGGCTGGAGGCCAGTCCCTCTGTAGGTTTGGGATGGAAGGGGTAGAAGGCATAAGAACACATAAGGTCTCTTCTGCACAATCAAGGGGTGACTTAGAGACTGAACAAGACCTGCGTGCAGAGCACCGGCCCACGGGCCCCAAAAACGTTCACTAATACAGCTTCCCTTCAGGCCATGTCTGTGAAGTGAATGACCCAGACTCAGGACTCTCTAAGGGTCCGTGTATTTTGGAAGTTCTACCCTCTGTGCTTTCATTTTCTCAATGCTGTGAACCCTGAAAAACTGCACACCATCAATTCTGTACTTAAAACAATTAACATTTTTCTACTTAAAAAAAAATTTAGTTTGCTTTAAAAAAATCAATTTTTTTTTTTACTTAAAAGAATCTTGTATTCTATGTACAGGTGATGTGTAATCGCTAGCTATTGACTGTGACCCTGTCACCCTAGCGTGTGGTACAGATCCCCTGTTGAATGAGGCTCAGGACAAAGGCACCAACATTTACTGGGTGTGGGCTGTGTTCCAGGCCCCGTACTAGGCCTTTCCCTCACTCATCACGTAATCCTCTTTGGAAGGTGTTTATACTCCCATTTTACAGATGGGGAAACTGTGCCTCAGTGAAGTTAAGTAACTTGCTCTGTGTCTCACAGGTGGCAGGATGAATCAGGATGGTAAGTGAGTTAGTTATCTATTGCTGCGTGACCCTATAACCACAAACTTAGTGCCTTGAAACAACACACATTTATTATCCCACAATTTCTGAGGGTCGGGGGAGCAGACATGGCTTGGCTGGGTCCTCTGCTCAGGGCATTCTCTGCACAGACCAGCAGCTGAGGTCTGGTCCAGGGCTGCTGTCTCATTTGAGGATGGGATCGGGGAGGATCTGCTCCCAGGCTCACATGGTTTGGGGCAGAATGTAGTTCCTGGCAGGTTTTCAAACCGAGGGCCTCAGTTTCTTGCTGACTGTTGGCTGGAAGCGGTCCTTAGTTGTCTGTCATGTGAGCCTTCCCGCCATGCCTGCTGGCTTCCTCAAAGCCAGCAAGGGAGATGGTCTCCTCATTAGACAGGTTGCAGGCTTACATAACGTCATCACGTGCATCCCATCGCCTCCACTGTGTTCTGTTGGTTCAGTGCAAGTCACAGGCCCCACCTGCCCTCCAGAGCAGGGAACCCCACAAGAGGGTAAACACTCAGCAGCTGAGCCACCCTAGAATCTGTGCACCCACAGTAACCCAGGGGGAAGGTGCCACTTTATTAACCCAGGATATAAGTACTGAAGGGCCGTGAGGGAAAGGAGGGATCTGAGGAGAATGGGGCTCATCTGGGGAGGCTGGGCTGGGACTTAAATGAACCAACTGCCATGAATGGGAAAAGACCAGTGAGCTGCTTGTGATGGAGCAGCTGTGAGGAAAGGGCCTGACGTGGAGCCAGCAGAGGGCCAGGGGGCAGGGGCGGGCAGAACGCAGATGGGCAGCCCGGGACCTAGCACCCCATCCTGGGAAGAGAGGCCATGAATAAGCATAGCCTGGCCCTGGGAAAACGAGCCACCCTTCAACTCTAAATTCCGCCCTAGCACCTCCCAGGCACACGTGTTTGACCTGACACAAGGGGACGGAGGTTATGAGTTTAGCGATGCATTTCTCTTTTGAAGAAAGACGTGCTGATGTATTGTTTTAAACACTGCCTGGGCCTCGGAACAGTTTGAGTGGCAGGAATGATGGGCCTGTGTTTTTCTCTCTGTGAACAGAAAGTGAAACTACCGATAGTGTGCCCAGTGATGAAGAGAGCTCGGAGGTAAGCATGGTGGCACCGGGACAAAGCCTTCCCAACTGGCACGGTGGTTTCCCCGCTGCTGGTGAAGTTTCTTTTCTTTTGAGCATGAGTTTCACTTTTGGATTTTTTTTTTTTTTTTGGTGATGGTGGTAAAATATACATCACATAAAATTTACAGTGCTTTTGGATTTTGACTTACAAAATGAAGCTTTGGGAAGTAAATGGGAGGGAAGGGGGTAAGATGTTACTGTGAGAAAGGAGGCTATGACGGCAGGAAAAGGCCAAGAAACGCTGATATGCTTTTACCACCATAAACATCCTAATTCACAAGCAGAAATAGAAGGTCCAAGTGGCCCGAGGCAATGATGAGAAGTCAGTGTCAGAAAGTGCTAAGCAAAAGTAGCTCCCCAGATACCGGGAGTGTCCCCTCCCCCCCAGCCCGCCCTGTGATCCCTGCCCCCGGGCCAGGTATGTGTTCTGTCCGGATTCCAAGTGGCTTTGCTTCTGATCTCTCTCCTCTTGGCTAGGCTCAGACAATGGCAGGAAATGGCTGGAACTGTGAGGGGAAGCATTCCGGGGAAGCATTC